AACCCAATACGAACACTCCCCAGATCGCAAAAGTATCTCTTTGGGCCATGCTATCTTCTGCGCCGCTGGGCAGTCGGCATATATCAGCGACGGCGTGAGTTATGTAGCGTGGATGCCATAAGAGGCTAGTCGGTTTGTTGGAGGGGAATATTGGAGAGGTTGGTTGGCATGCCGGCGGGCCATGCGAAAATGTCGTCGTGGTAGTTGATTGGGATGTTGGAGGGGTTGGTTGGCATGCCGGCGGGCCATGCGAAAATGTCGTCGTGGTAGTTGATTGGGATGTCGGAGGGGTTGGTTGGCATGCCGGCGGGCCGTACGGTCGTGTCGTCGTGGCAATTGTTTGAGATATCGGGGGTGTTGGTTGGCATGCCGGGGGGCCGTACGATCGTGTCGTCGTGGTAATTGTTTGGGATATCGGGGTGGTCGGTTGGCATGCCGGCGGGCCATGCGAAAATGTCGTCGTGGTAGTTGATTGGGATGTCGGAGGGGTTGTTTGGCATGCCAGGGGGCCGTACGATCGTGTCGTCGTGGTTGGTTCGGATGTCCTCCAGTGGGAACTGTGGTCCCCCATAATGGCCTTTTAGGTATCAGCAATAGCTGTGGTTTAAACAAATCTTCTATACTTACCTGGACCTTCTTGAGTCTGCGGCTGCCGAGTATATTCGCCTGTAAAGAGACGTTAGCTTTGCTAAAAAGTAGGCTCTGTGTCACACACCATTTCCCGCTCCTAAGCATAATCCCCACCTATCTCCCTGTGGCATGGGAGATCGATATAAGTAACCTGAGTGTTCAGTCTGATGGTTGTGTGTTGGCATGTTGGTGACGCTTTCTGAGGGAGGGGTGGTGAAAGATTGCGAGTATGATTGACTTTGTGGAGGATCAGCGTTAGAGTTCGGCAGTTTGGAGGTGGACGGGCTAGATACCTAGAAGCATTTGCGAGTTCACCCGAGTGCATCAGCCTGCGGCGAGAGATACGAGGAGCCATTGGAGCAGAATAGTACGATAAAGTTGTGAGCTGCTGTCGTTTCCGCTTTGCGCTACGATTAATTTGACTATTGTAATGAAATTGGGCTTCCTTTATCCAGGGCGTCGTCTCTTTGGCATGATTTAGCAGTTTGCTATTGTTTTTGAATTCTCGGATGAAAATTGGAACTTGATCATAAGATAGCGATCGCCATGAATGATATACAAACGGCGAAAAGGATGTTATTCCAGCGATGCCCATCTCTTCGTCATCGCCGAGGACGATCTTGAGCAAACGTTCGATGACAAGAAGTTTTATCCCGCGACCAAGGGCGATTAACGAGATCGATAAATCAGTAATAGGAGTTCCGATTCCCGTTAGGAATGTTTTTCGCTGGCAAGCTCGACCTTCTTTTGGTTGCGCCGCAGCGTCTGAGCCTCTTTTTGGTTGCGCCGCAGCATCTGAGCCTTCTTTTGGTTGCGACGCAGCGTCTGAGCCTTCTTTTGGTTGCGACGCAGCGTCTGAGCCTTCTTTTGGTTGCGCCGCAGCTTTTAAGCTTTCTGTAATCGCTTGAACTTTTGAGGGACCCTTTCCTAATTCCCATAGCTCAAATTCTAACGCAAAGCTTCTCTCGGCGAGGATAGCTCGAAGCTTAGCTTGAGTGCTCTTGTTGTGCATGCTGGTGCCATATGAGAAATCTAAAAGGCGATAATCTCGCTGTTCGCTTGGCGGATTCCCAATTGCATCTTGTATCTCCATATTTGTAAACTTTTGAACTTTTCCGTAGAGAGAATCCAACTTTTGAAGTAATTTTTTGCAATTTTCGATTTTGACATCGCCTTTCGCTGATGCGTTGCTAGCCTCGTGTGAGGAGGAACAGGGCAGAGAAGGTGGAGCGCCATCGACTACGGCTGAGGAGGAACTTGGTGGAGAAGGTGGAGAGGTGCCATCGCCCGCGGCTGATGTGATGCTGGCCCTATCTGAGGGCGGAGAAGACGGAGAG